TGGGTGAGTTATTTCCCGCAGACCCCCTGTTATGAATTGTTAGGTGTCATGTCTCTTAGGAGACAAGAAACATGTTGTTTCTGGGTATAGTAATCTCATCAGGGAGAACTCAGTTCTGAATTGTGGTTGGTTTGGAATATTTCAGCTTTTTTAGGTCTGGGTTAAATATTTCCATGGGCTATATACCAAGTTTAAAAGGTGTTCTCACTCATCTTTCTTTCCTTTTAAATGAGGTATAGCTTTTTCAATGTGCGAAAGGGAGAGTCAAGTGACAGAGAATCCTCAGCTGGACCTCCTCTCAGCTTGTGTGTGGACCCAGGAGTCATATGCAGTCATGCATGTGTCTTCATGATTCCCTTTTCTCCTTTTCTGTTACAAAACAATGTCTCTCATTTGAAAATGAACCAGATTTTCAAGAAACCAATATGTAAAGGAGCATAGTGATAGATGGGGGGGGGAGGGGAAATAGGAACTGTAGAATTCTTGTTAACGTGATAATCATTCTTCAATTTATCTGTTAGAATTTGTGTATATTTTCTTAACATACTTTTTTTAAAAAGATCTATATTTTAAAAAATATTTATTTATTTGGCTGTGCCAGTCTTAGTCGTGGCATATGGGATCTAGTTCCCTGACCAAGGAAGAAACCTGAGCTTTTTGCACTGGGAGCAAGAAGTTTTAGCCACTAGACCACCAGGGAAGTCCCTTAATGAGTTTCTTGCAAGGGCTTATTTATCCGTCCATTTATTCTTCAACAAATATTCATTTACACTCCTGTGTCAGACATGGTGCTCAACACTGGTTGAGCACAAGATAAAGAAGACCCATCAGAGTCATTCATAATGGTTGGGAAGATATTAAGTAAGCTAGTTATGAAAACACTCATAGAGCTCAGACGCTTTTCTTCATGGCGGTTTGGAGTATCAAGGAAGCCTTCCTGGAGGAGGTGAACATAAGCAAGCAATGAATCAGACCAGGGCCTTAGGAGAGGAAGGGAAGTGAGTCTGTGTCCCTGGTACCTGGTTAGAGAAATCTTAAGAAGTTACTGCCTTAGTTTCCTTGTCAGCAAATTGGGAAGAATGACAATGCCCGCCTTCTGAGACTGTTGTGAAGATTAAAGGAGAATGCATGGAAGGGCCCCAACACTGTGGCTGGCGCGAGCAAACCTGCAGTAAGCGTGCGCCTGACAGGTGTGAAAAAGGGACGGATTTCAGCACTCTCCCTAACACTGACCTGAGGTATCCCTTGGGTACCTACCACGTCGCCTCAGTGCTGGGTCCTGGGCAGGAACCAAGTCGTTTGTCAGGAGGCCCATGAGGGTGCTCTGAGGGGTCCAGTGACGGGTGACTTGGGCCAGGCACGGAGGAGACATGTCGCCTCCGTGCCTGGCAGACCGGGAGGGGCCGCAAGGCGCAGTCGTGGCCTCAAAGCCGGAAGGAGACCGGCACACACGATCCTTTGGGGTTCCTCAGCTCCCTCGGCATTTTCCACAAGCACTCGCTGCCTCTCAGGGCCCAAGGCGCCCATCTCTGTGCGGTTCCCACTCTCCCCATGCTGCCTGTTGAAAGCTGGAGCCTCTGCCACGTCCTCAGTAAATACGGCCAACCCCTCACACGGCCCTCTTCTCCACCTGCCGAAACGGTCCCGCCTTTCTTATGCCCAGGTGACTGCAGAAGGTTCAGGCTAAAATGCTCGTTCTGGTGCTTATTTGAGAGATTCCTGAACTGGGACTTGTGATCCTGTCACTACCTAAAACTTTCCGTATTGCTCAGTAAAGTCTGAAAGCCTAAATGTGTCCTATAAAACTTGGCATCATCTCATTCCTATCCCCCAGAGTCCCGCCTCATCTCTTGAAACTCTCCCCACGGCTCCACGTCACTGGCTGTTTTTCCCCCGTTGTTTCAACACCATGAGCACCTTTATACATGTTGCTGCCTCTGTTTGAACGGCTCTCCCCAACCCCTTCTCCAGACAAACGCCTCTCTTTACTTTATTTATTTAATTTATTACAAGTCCTCTGCTCATGAAAGGTCTCCCTCATTCCCTAATTATATGTACTCACAATGCCTATAGTTTTCCTTTATCCTTCCTGCTTATCATAATTGAAATGAAGACGTTACTTGAACACAAGCCTTATTTATCTGACATATATTCTTGGAACCCATAATGTAGGTGTTGATAACAACATGCAGTAAGGCAGTCAAAGGGCCTGCCCATGGTGCTTGTATTTTAATAAGTGAGGCAATGCATAAGAAACCAAAGTAGATATGATACAGTGTCAGGTAGTGATAAGTACTCTGGCGAAAAGTGAAGATGGATATGGAGACAGAGAGAACTGAAGATAAACTGGGGATGGGCTTAAGAAGGAAGGGCTTTTAGGTTGCTTCCATGTCCTGGCTATTATAAACAATGCTGCAATGAACACTGGGGTGCATGTGCCTTTTTGAAAGGAATGGATAAAGAAGATATGGTGCATATACACAACGGAACATTACTCAGCCATGAAAAAGGACAAAATAATGCCACTTGCAGCAACATGGAAGGACCTAGACATTGTCATACTGGGTAAAATGTCAGACAGAAAAAGACAAATATCATTTGATATTACTTATATGTGAAATCTTAAAAAAAGGTACAAGTGAATTTATATACAAAACAGAAGTAGAGCTACAGATGTAGAAAGCAAACTTATGGTTACCAGGGGGAAAGGAGTGGGAGGGATAAATGGAGAGACTGGGATTGACATATATACACTGCTGTGTATAAAATAGACAACCAATAAGGCCTTATTATATAGCACAGGGAAATCTATTCAATACTCTGTAATGGCCTGTATGGGAAAAGAATCTAAATAAGTGGACATATGTGTGTATATGTGCCAGATTCACTTTGCTATACACCTGAAACTAACGCAACTTTGTAAATCAACTGTACTTCAATATATTTTTTCTTTTTTAAGCAGGAAGGGCTTATGAGTGTCCTAGGCTAGAATTCCCAATGCCCAACACAGTGCCTGGCATCTAGAGAGTACCTGATAAATGTTTGCTGAATGAGAATCGCATTGGCCCAAGTAGACCCAAGGGGTGAAGGATACCGAAGAGGGCTAACTGGGTTGTATTGTCATGCTTGTTTCTCTCCAACGTCCCTAAGGACTGAGACAATTCGGTCTACGTATTCACCCCATATCCAGTGTGAATCCATGTCAAACCTAATTCCCTATTCAAGTTGACTATATAGTCACACCTTTCGTGAGGTCGCTTTGCATACTTTCTTCTTAATTGCCCTGGGCAAAATTGCAACTGGTTGGTGAATGAAATATTTATGCTTTGAAGAATTGGTGTTCTAGTCAGTTTCTATTTATACTGATGATCAGCTCTTTCTCCGTGAGGAGGAGGAGAATTTTTTCTGTGATCTGTGTGCTTCTAAATGACTAATGAAGTCAATCTGGGCCTGGCAGATTTTCGCCACGACTTGGACAGACATAGCGCTCATGATGCTGTTACTTCTCAGCTCCCTGGTTCCCTGCTTCCCACTGCAATGATCTCATCATTGGCATTTCATTTTCATAGTGTCAAATCATCCCTGCTTTGCATTATGCCTCTGTGTGTCTCGGACTTGGGGCACTGTCTGTCACTTTTCTCTCACCCAAGATGGACTTCTTAAGGAAGAGGCCAAAGAGTAAACATCTTCAATTAATTTTGTTTTGTTTTCATTTTGATGGGATGGGGAGAGAGGAAAATTCATGCCCTCAAAATTTTCTTCAGTTTGAATGAAAGTACTTTTGCAGATCAGTGTGGATTGTGATCCAGACAAATTGGGTCCATTCCCTGGACTTGGTTTAAAAAAATCAAACAGCATCAAGGAAATGAGCCCCAGGAATGGCTCCTTTCCTTGTCTCTGGACCCTTGTCTCTGGACCTTTTCTTTCGTGCTTCACCTGGCTCCACTCCTCTCTGCCCCAGAGGCCTTTTCTGGTTCTGCACTTCTATGGGAGTTCCTTGCTTTATTTCTACCACTCTTTGGACAAGAAATGCCAACAAAATCCATACATCAGGGGAATTTCCTGGTGGTCCCGTGGTTAGGACTCTGCACTTGCACTGAAGGGGCCACGGGTTCAATCCCTGGTCAGGGAACTAAGATCCCACATGCTGCACAGCAAAAATAAATAGATAAGTAAAATCTTTAAAAATCCATACTCATACTCCAAGTTCGTTTTGGCTTTAATCCATGCTATTTTGACTGTCCCACCCCCTTCTCTCTGCACATCACTGTTCTCTGTGACAAATTCCCAACTCCCCAACAGAAAAATCCCACATTTTCTATCTAGCATTAACCAGTGTCCCCAGCCACCCCAGGCCCTAATAATGAGGCCTTCAAATAGTTGCTACTCATGGAATTGGTTAAGAAAAAGACTGAGGAGCAATACAATGTTTCTCCATTTTCACCCCATTTCCTTCGATCTTATCAATTTATAATTGTATATTTATTTATCTTTTCACTTATTGACTGTCCCCCTTCCCATAAACGTTGGGAAACGTGTCTGCCTTGCTGGCCAAGGTATGCCCGATGCTGGCCAGAGTAAACATGTTTAGTGAATCTCTGTGGAAGGGAAGAAGCTTATTCAGGGTGGATTTCCACTCACCCTAAAGAAGGGAAATGAAAGCAAACTTTGGTGGTTTTGTTTTACTGTGGGCAAATTCGTATGGACTGAGAAATTCAATTAACTGTATTCATCAATTTTTGTCTCTGGGGTAGAGTCGTGAGACTAAGACCCAGAATTCTTGGTCCCACCCCTTTTGTGGCATTAAAAAAAAAAGAAAAGAAAACTTGGCCTATTACACCAACCAGATTTTTTTTTCTTTGTCTCAGAAGGCTCAGCTGAACGCTAGATTCCTCACCCAGTGCAACAATCAAAAACTCAGAAAACCTCAGCTGCCTCAGATGATGTCACAAAACCCTTAAGAATGCTCACTGCTGAGTTGGGCACAGGTCCAGCAAACACAATTCTTTCTGCCAGTTATTCAGGGTCTTTGACAGATTAGGTGGTCTTTTTTATTCCTCTTCTTCTTTTTTTTTTTTTCCATCCTCTTAAAAGGCAGTTCAGTTTACCTCTAAGCAAGACATTAGCTCTGGCTGCCCCAAATAACATTTTAATTGAAGTCTCAGTCCAAACAAATGCCTGGTCTCTTTATTAACCCCAACAGTGTAATTTTTCAACCTAAGACTGATTCAGGGGGAAACCGTCTCACTTAAACTGCCATGCAACGGAACATGGCAGTTTTCCTCAATCAGTCTCTTTTCTGACCTTAATTTGAACCTTAATCTCTTTTAACCATGTTCTCTTTATTAGCTGCTCATAGCCGTGGCACAATACTAATTTTCCTGTTTTTAGACTATCAGTTTACAGAGGTAGTTCACTCCCCCGTCTGTCTCCAAATGTATCCAAGATTTCATGGACCTTTTTGGGAAAAGGAAGGTAATACTTAACCTTTCTTTTTAGGTTTAGTAATTTAAATAGCTGCTTTGAGAAACTCTCTATAGAATTTTAGACTGGGTATTTTTTGAGGTACATTAAAGTTTAGGTACAAAAAAATTAGATACTTAATTGTCAGAAAAACCTAAAAAACCTTTTAAATAGTTACAAAAGATTTTTCATCCATAGACAGGTCCACACTCATAACGTGGAAACTAAGGCTATTATCTTAATAATTCAGGCAAAAACGGTATGTTTTTATTAGAAACCTCTAATCTTTTGGGGGGACCTGAGTTATCGAGATAATTGTTTCCATTCCTTCCTTTTTTAATGCTTAGATATAATCAATGAGTAAGGATAGAGACAATCATTTTTTTCTTAATTATACCTTCCCATTTTTTGACATTGGTAAAATGATCCAAATTAAAAAGAAAAAAAAACCAACCCTTCAAAAAAAAGGAAAAAAAAAAGTGTTTCTCTATTTGGAGTCTACCTTAATATAGCAGAACTATGTAGGTAGAAAAACAGTGCTTATGATCATGTGCTCAATTAGATTTATTATAGGTTTTTGTACTTTTTGGCATTAGCATGAAAGCATATTGGTTATTATTCTTTCTAACTTAATTGAAGGCTTTGTATCTAGTTACCCCTCTGTTCTTTCCTTCATACAATAGTTTGTTGATTGCAAAAAATTACATTTCTGTGACTTTAAAGTCCTAGAACGAGGACTGTCATTGAAAGTTGGAGATTCAGCCTGGTGCTTGGAGGGCAGGGACCATGTGCCCTCTGGGTGTGAGGAGGTGGGCAGCTGGGAACAATGGTCTGTCCCCTGCGGAGTTCTGTGGCAGTAGCAGCATGTTGGCACGATAAACTTCGCCTTCATTTCACTGGCTCAAACAATTAGTGGGATTAAATCAGAGTTCTCCTGGATCATGGTTTATTATATGTTATTAAATTCCATTATTCGAGAAGTTGCTGCTACGATTCTGAAACTTCCCAACGTCTCACACAAAGCCCCCATCTCCATTCTCTGTGTATTTTCTTTTACGTTTATCTTCTGCTTCTCTGATAGTCAAGGTTTCCTTTTTCTTTCCCCTTGGTACTTATTTAAAGAGCTAAGAGCTAATTTGAAAATACATCTTTGAAAGGGCAACAAAAATGAGATGTGAAAAAAAATGGATGAAGATTCTTAATTAGTCCATTATTTGACACGCACGATTTAACATGGTATGCTTAGCATTGTGCATTCCCCAAAAGAACAAGGCTCTTTTTTTTTTTATCCCAAACTTTAACTCCCTCTCATTCATTATATCCCTTCTTGTCACTTTCCATTAGCTGATCATGACATCCTTTGCTGGAAGGGCGAGCAAGCAGATTACTTCCAAACTGGTGTAAGTGACACTCAAAAGACTGGCCTAAAGGGGGTTCTGTGATAGCAACAAGCTCCTCAGCCCCTGGAGTTGGAGAATGTCATTTCAATAATATATCGGAGTTCATTGTCACATCATTTCTGAAGCAACTTGGCAACTTCCCAGAAGTGGCAGGAATGGGTCTTCTGCTGGAATTTGTGTGTAGATACCATCTAATGTTTTTGAAGTTGCTAATTATTATCATATAATAATAATTATTATTGTTTATTGTGCCAACACAAACCTTTTATCTAGCATAGCATCCTGCATTTTATAGATGAGGCAACCGAGGACCAAAGAGATGAAATAAATTTTCTGTGGCTGGTGAGTAGCAGAGCTAGGACTTTTAATTGAGGTCTAATTATGTCTCTTACCGTTAGAACAGGCTGCATACACCACATGAACGGCTAGGAAACTCCAGCATGTCTCATCAACGGCTAGGAAACTCCAGCATGTCTCCGTGAATCTAAAGGATAAAGAAATGATCAAAAGCATATTCATTTTAATGCAACTGAAAAATATCCTGTCCCCAGGTACTTCTCAATGGGGGCAGGGGGTGACTGAATGAGTCAGGGGTTAAACAAACACAGAGAGATTGTGCGATGAAAAGAAGTGGAGAATCTGATGCTCTGATCAGAGAGCCCTGAACATGTGAACCGTTCCCCAGCCCAGCATCCCTCCCATACTCCCAAAGGTTCCACCTTGGGAATCTGCCTTGGAATGGGGTGGACCTGGGGAGAGCAGCATGGTTACAGATTGAAGGTGTATCTCAGTCGGTCACAGAGAGCCATGAGCTCTGGCCTGAACAGTGCCAGGACTGAGGCTGGCCACCACGCGGAGCCTCACTCTGCTTCTTAACTCCCGTGGTCTCCTGCTCCCAAGAAAACCAAGTTCAGTTCATTCATCAAGTTTCAGCTTCTTCCTTTCCTTAAACAAGTTTTAGCCTCTTTCCCCAGTAACCCTGAAAACATTTTGATTATAAAATAGAGAGTTTGGAAATACAAAGAAACATTATATAGAAGTCCCCTATTCTTCTTCCATTGAAGTGAAAGTCACTCAGTCGTGTCCGACTCTTTATGACCCCATGGACTATACAGTCCATGGAATTCTCCAGGCCAGAATACTGGAATGGGTAGCCTTTCCCTTCTCCAGGGAGGTGTCTTCCCAACTCAGGGATCGAACCCAGGTCTCCTGCATTGCAGGCAGATTCTTTACCAACTGAGCCACAAAGGAAGCCCAGTCAGATATTCTCACAGTGTATATCTTTCTGAGGTTTCTCAGGTGGCCCAGTGGTAAAGAATCTGCCTATCAAGGGGTTTGATCCACGGGAAGATCCCCTTGAGGAGGAAATGGCAGCTCCAATGTTATTGCCTGGGAAACCCCTCGGACAGAGGAGCCTGGTGCGCTATACAGTCCACAGGGTGGCAAAGAGTCAGACAAGCCTGAGCGAGTCAACAGCACAGCATGGATCTTTCTAGAACAGGCTATCCAGGTACCTGCTAGGTGGTGACACAAGTAGTTACAGGGATGGACTCTGAAACCAGACCACCATCTTTAAGTCTGGACACGGCCATCAGCAGCGTCACCCAACCTCTCTGGCCCCCCGTTTTCTCACATGTAAAGTCCCCTCCCCTAGAGTTGTGACAGGAGTGATTGCATGTGAAGCCGCTGGCCCACGGGCAGCACTACAGCTTCTCAGCTACGGCTGTATATATGCTGTTCCCATGTTCTTGTCTTACTTGCTTTTTCTGACCGTGCTCCAGCCTCCTCGATTCCAAGCCCATAGATAACTTCGTCGGCAACTGAGTTTCTGTCTCTTTTCAGTCCATTTGGTTTGACTGGTCTCCCCCTCACACCGCATCAGTGATTTTTTTCCAGGTCTCAATTCCTGTCCATTTACCCATAACTCTTAAGCAAGCATGGCCAGCATCTTATTTCCACTCCAGTCTGATGGACACATTTCTGCTTGGCTACCCTGCTTACCCAGCCTGGCACCACGGCAGAGCCTGAGCAGACTTCCCTGCTCTTTTCTGTCTTGAGTTCCTTGAAGTGAGTGCAGTTGGAGGCAACACCAGGAGCTCGTGATCACAAAGACAGCTCCAGCATCCACCCACGGTTTGGGAGCCTCAGGAAGGTCAGTGAGAAACTAGGTGCCAAATATAGACAGGCAACACAGGGGTAAGTTTATTTGCTTAAAACAATTTTAGATGCAAGGAGGATTTTTACAAAAACATCATATTCTTTTTAAAAACTCTCTTTATCAAATCCATCTTCTCAGAGATTTTTGCACCACTGAGATGGGAAAAATATCAATTTTTAGATAGCACATTTAAATACATGTATTTTATATATTACATGTATATGTATTTTTAAACTTGGAAGTGTGTGTGATAGGAGTGTGGATAGCCAGTCACAGGAATGGGAGAAGAGGGAATTACATTTAATGAAGCTGGGACCTTTCACGTAGACCTTTCAGACTTAAAAAAAATTGTTGATTTTACATGCCAAAGTCTTGAAAGGGCCTTGACGGCTCACGGCTTTGGTGTATTTTTCCAGATGGCAGATGCCATTTTGTGTTTTGCATAAACTGACTAAATTTGCTTGCTCTTTGTACTTATTTCAGAGGCAACCATTCTTTGCTTTCAATAGGACAGAAGAGCTCCTTGGCACTGGAATCCTCCTGGTCTGGGGAGGGAGGGATGGTTAAGGGACTGTTCTGAGGATATGCAGGCGTCATCCCAAACTTCCTACGTTCACTCTGAGGAAGGAGGGTGCACCAGGGCATCGAATCCTTGCTCCCTACAGATATTTCTGACTCTGTGAGCAAGTCACAGAAAATAAATTGTGCTGGAGAACTTTGAAAGCTATTTTTTCCAGTTCTCCCATTGTTACTTCCATGGAGGACAAATAGGTTCATTATGTTCTTTCAACTCTTCTCTAGCCTAACTACTTAGTTGTATGATACCTTAATGTAATTCCTTTGTACTTCACGTTGTCATGTCCGACTCCGTGCGACCCCATAGACGGCAGCCCACCAGGTTCCGCCGTCCCTGCAATTCTCCAGGCAAGACACATTGGAGTGGGCTGTCATTTCCTTCTCCAGTGCATGAAAGTGAAAAGTGAAAGTGAAGTCGCTCAGTCGTGTCCGACTTTTTGCGACCCCATGGACTGCAGCCCACCAGGCTCCTCTGCCCATGGGATTTTCCAGGCAAGAGCACTGGAGTGGGATGCCACTGCCTTCTCCATATATATAAATATATATATATATATATACACATATATATATATGATGATGCTAATAAAAATAACACATCTCTCAGAATTTGTCATAAAGATTGTGTGAGTAAATCCAGATAAAGGATTTAGAACAGTGCCTGATATATGGTAAATGCTCAAGAAATGTTGATCATTATTGTTGTTATGATTACTGTCCATGGGAATTTTCACTTTTTTCTCATTTTCTGCTGATTGACCCTACCTTACTCTTGTCACCTTTGGGTCTTTGGGTCATTCTTTATGGAAATAGGCTGGTAATAGAGTGGTTACACTATTGGTTTTTCAGTCAAACAGAACCAAGTTGAAATTCTTGAAGTAACATTTAATAGCTATATCTTCTCCACAAGTGACTTAATTTCTTTAAGCCTCAGTGTCTTCATCTATAAAATAAGGATGATAATAACAGTACCTATTTCATAACATCTTGAGAGGCTTCAACGAGGCAATGCTTGCAGTGTCTGGCAAGAATGTACAGCATGTTATATATGTTATTATTTTTGATGCCCCAAATTTTATCAGGGTAGGACTCTTCTAAAAGACACCTAGAAGCTTATCAAAGCTCCAGGGCTCTAGTTTTATGTCAGCTACCCTACCAGAAAAGAGGGCAAGCACAGAAATAGAAAGACGCTATGAGGCCATGACTTGACAGAGACTCTTTGCCAAATCATGACACTGATTTGACAGAGTTGAGTATCAGTCAACATGAATTTCAGTTCCAGTTAGGAAACTCACATTCCTGAGTGGGCCCTCCCAGCTCATTGCACTGGAGAGTCCAAAGGATAGGAATTATTGGGATAGGCATGAAAGCTGTATTCTTCTATCCTAAACTCCCCAAACTACCCATAGGGTGAGGTAGATTGTAAGGAAGAAAGAGTTACTTGTGCTGATAACTCAAGAAAGAATGTGGCATTTGCACATTATGGAATATTCAAATTTCCCATTTTCCAAAATGTATTTCTTTCCTCAAACTAAAAATGGATAGAAATTACATCTGTGAGTGAAAGAAAGCCCTCTAAACACTGTACTTGTGTTATTGGACAGTTGAAAACTGTCTAAATCACTTTTGCCTTTGGTCTCTATGGATCTCCATAACTGAATAAAGAGAAAATCAAAGAACTCTCGAATCTTTTGCCCCAAAGCTCCAATGAAACTTGAAAAAACAGAGGAACATGGAACAAGGAAGTGTGAAAAACAGCAACAATCTTGCAAATATTTAGTGTGCCCTCTTAGATTTGTTTCAACCTCTCCCTGCCTGTGACTTCTAACAGTAAGAATAAAATGGGTTTGAGTTAGAAGGAAAAGGCACTGACATAATGTCTTTTCTCAGTTCTGATGACAACTCCATCTTTGTCCTTGACCTCATACTTAGAAATTACTCAGAACGTAGAATTCTACAATGATCACTAACAGTAAAATAAGAGAGGAAGGTAAGATTGAGCAAGAGGCAGAGAAAGTACACATCAAAGGAAAAAGGGGAGGAAAGTGGGAAAGAATAGGAAGAATGTATATTATTAAAATAGGGAAAGAAATTATATAACAGAAAAGAAAAAAAACAAACAAACTTTACATTGTTGTAACTGAGATGACTAGCTGACCCACCAAGATTTACCCTCCCCTTTCACAGTGCAGAACTGTTTCTGGGAATCAATTGCTCAGCCAGGGACTGTATTTCCCAGACTCTCTTGCACGGATGTGGGACTATGTGA